GGAACTTACACACACTCTTCCTAGACAAAGCGCCGCTTGGCGGCGCTTTGGCTAGGGTATCTTTAGAGGGGACTGACACACACTCTTCCTAGACAAAGCGCCGCTTCGCGGCACTTTGGTTTGATATATACCGGAGTTGATCTATTCAAGTTTTCAGCCCGCAACTAAATCCACATTCGATCTGGTGGAAAAAACACCGATTTGAAAGAGTGACAGCTACTTAGCGGACAGCAGTAGCTTGTATTTACTGCGCAACTGATACTTCCGTCAAAATCAATCCTCAATATGGAATGGACTTGTTGTTTTAGAAGCTCGTACATTGACTCGTTTGAAACTAAAAATCTAGTATTGAACTTATGCAACAGTACATATCGTACAGATGTAGTGAGGGTTATGATGAGGATAAAACAAGGAAAACATGCAGATTCGAGGCAATAGCGTTTTTAGTTTATGATGCCATCAGTGTCGACTCACTTTGTGCTGGCGTAAATTTCAATGTTGGGCCCCAGGGATATGGGAATGTGACGACGTGATATAACAAACCGAGTGCTAAGCCGATCATCGTCCAGATGCGTTCACGGCCTTTTGAAACGCTGTAATAATGGAATTCAATGTGTCAAACTTTTTATTCGGATTTAGTGATGTTCTTATGGAGTACGCGTGTGCAAGTTAGGCCAAAATTGGAGTAAATGCATCATTGTGAAGACAATGTGAGACTAGAGACTCTAATTTCAAGGTGTTTCGCATGCAACATTGACCAATATTCTGAGGAAAAGTCTGAAGTCATCATGATTTATGTGAGAGTGAACGTAACAACTTACTAGTCTCCGAGTTTTATTACAAAACCAGCGTAGACGAGTACACTGGCCGCTCCATTAACCGCCTGTAGGATTCCTGAATTGTTCAAAGCACAGTCGATGAAATTTTTTATTTTTCAGACTTCTAAACATCACAGTAGTTCTAAATATTGGTGTAGCCTTGTTCTATAGGTTTGTTACGCAAAGTATTACCTATATATACGACAGTCTGTTTAGAAGTCCAGCTCCACATAGCCATTGCGTACATTGCACCAATGCTAAAAAATCATATTCATCCTTGCAGAAAAGCGCTTAAGATGTCATATAAGGACGTTAATTATCTTTCTGCCATCATTTCATGCAGTTCATTTAAACTAAGCACTGTTCTAAAAACGTGATCACTCCTACTTTAGGATTACTACCATAAACAAACAATTTCTTTCGGAGTTTGTATCCAAGATAGTCAAGTAGGTCAGATTCCTATGCATATTCGCCTTTAAAAATCAGATTACTTTACAATATCATGCATCTCCCATGCGCTTCCTAACATAAGGTCTTTTGCAGCATTATGATGGCTGTCTTCACATCGTATCTTCTCAACAGCAAGAGTTCTGGGGCATAAGCCACACTTTCAATAACTTCTTTATGCAAACTTGTGAAAGAATTTGGAATCTAATGTTTAACGATTAACTTTCAAATCAACTTTTTTTCTTGAGATAACGAATTTTGCGGCTCAGCAATAGTTGTGCGATAAACTAAGTCAGACCTTGTCCGAGACTTTCGAAGCAAAAAAAACCTCCAAATAATTTCAACATAAGTGCTACCGCCAATCATATAGTAGATGGTACTTTTTTTGCTCCGTGTTTAATTGAGATATGGAATCCCTAGTCTTTCTCTTTTCGAGAAGTCTTTTACTGGCATATGAAACTTAGATTTAGCAGCGAAATATATTAAGAATGTAGGAATGTAGACAAGCAAAGTGCAGATTTGTCGATTGACAGGGATCGTGAAGCTTGTTATGTTCCAAGATTTACTTTAAAAAACCTACGTTTCTAAGTTTGTGATGATAAACATTAGTGTAAACTGCGTGACAACGCAGACTCCCACGGCGAACACGTCGAATTTAGGGAGAGGGTTGTAATCATCTGAAATGACAAGAAATGAAATTTAAGTTTTTGAACAGAAGATGAAGACGAAGGAAGGATTATTTTGATGAATGAAGAAGGCTTGCGATATGAATTATCAGAGTAGTTCGTATTTTTTTCAAACTCAAAAATTTTCTAGAAAAATTGAAGTTTTGGCAAAACAAGAAGAAGTTCCCCTACAAGAAGGTGCACTTAGCTACCTCAGTACGGTTATGTTTGAAGAAACCATTGCAGTTGAAAGTTTAGAGGAGTGAA